CTACTCCTTTGTTCTTAGTCAGTCATAAATTAACTACTGAAAAAAAAAATCCTTATATTTCAATAAATTACAAATTAAATTAACATTTCTTTTATTCTAAAATCAATTTTAGAGTAAATCTCCTATTGTTTCCTATTGCAACCTTTTATTTAAAACAACATATTTGAACAAGCGACATATGATGGTCATGCTTCAAAGTAAAAATCTCGCATATTTTTATGTTTGAAACACAAATGAAAAATTATTACAAAATAAACAATATCAAAATAAAATTGTCAGAATTAATTATAAATGAATGGCATTCTATATTTAAAAGCAGTCAATAATGAACATATTTGTTGATTAATTATCTTGAAATTCATAATTTATATCGTTAATTTTCATAACAAATCAATCATCAATCTTTATGCAAGTACAATGGAATATCGGTAGAATTTTTCTTTCACTTTAGTTTTAATTATAACTAAGATAGAGGTTTTTCAAATAACATCCTCAACTTGTACTTTTTCCAATTTCATTAAAACTTGGATTAAATAGTTTGTAAGTTCAGAAACGCAGATGATGTATGTTCCTACTGCTAGTAGTTAAAATAACTTTACCATGTTCAACGAGATCGAGATATGCTGTAATGCTATGTTAATTGAACTTCATATTTCTTTTTGCAAGTTTGAAAACTATAATGTAACAGTTTAAATATATCATAAAATATTCTTCTTGAACCACTCTTTGGAATAATAATACCATAAAAAATCGTTCCAATAAAAATAAATAAATACATTTCAAATAAGTTATTGAATATGCGAGTCATTAAATCAGCGACTATCCAGAATGATCATTTCGACTGTCGGAAACAGCCTGAAATGGTTATAAAACGGCATCTTAAGGCATTAATTTTCAATGTATTTCGCCGTAATTCGTTATCCACTTTTACGAGCTGTTTTTACCGCTAAAAAATGGTCATCATTTTTCACACTGTTTTCACTACTTTACGAGCTCTTAGGGCTCTGGAAGAGCTGCCTAATTCGTCTATATTTTGTAAGATAGAATTTTTCGTTTAAATCTAGTTTTGTAGAAAATACTTTGAACTATGAACCCATTCGAAGAAACCAATAAACTACTATGACAATTTTGAGAAATCCAGCCTGTTTTTTTCAAAAGATCGTCGGAGAAATCGGTGTTCGAATTTCTTCTCGAATAAGATTTTGCATATGAAAATATGCTTCTAGGTTTTGGCTATCAAAGATTGAAAATCGTAGAGTTCTATCTTGTTCCTATCGAAATTTATTCAAAAAAAAACATTCGAGTGCCTTAAGTTCTGACGCCAATAGTAGTATAAATGAGGCTAATCAACACATGAACTTCAGATTTTTGTCCCAAACTAGATATGCTTCTAGTCACACTTATTTTATTTTTCTTATGTTTTTAAATGTACTTTTTTTCATCGTTTTTAATTAGGGATGTTTGAAAGGCATAGCAATGCACTCATGCTGAAATCTCATATAGAACGTGGTAAAATTGCTGAACTTTGTATTTTCATTTAACACTTTCTTTTCACGAAACCTGAATTTCATACGAGACTGTTACTTAAGCTGGACAAACAAATCTTTTTGTTTGTCTAAACAACGACAATACTTGAACTCAAACAGTTAGTGTAACATATAGGAACAAGTGTTTTTCAAAGTGACGCTGATTCTTTATTCAAACCATTCAAAATATCTCCACGAAAAAATCATTGATTACAGAGATATTGAAATTGTACAAATGAAATTTGATTTAACATTTAGAAAGAGCTTTTCAAGATGATTCTAAATAGACGACTGGATTTGCTCGTATGTTGCACCTTTGACAATCTAGACAATGAAAAAAAGACAAAACAATATTACGAAATATGTTATTATTTGAGAACATTTGAAAAAATTCATTTCTTTGATGGTAATAATATTTATGAAAGTTTGCATAAAATAGAAGGTGAAGTCTATTTTGGAAAATGAAAGAAGATAATTACATATATACTTTTAACTCCAAGAAAAGATCCCGTTAATTTATAATAAGATAGAAGACATGAATTATGATTATCGATGTTATTTGAGATTTTTATTCAATGGTAACATTTGTCTACCCTAGAAAAGCTTTTACATCGTTTATGTACCCAAAAAACGTGAATTATTCATGAAACTTCATTTTAAATGCAAATTCAACAAGAAGAACAAGTACAATCTTTGAGTTATTTTTATGAAACTACTAATTTATGATTCATTATTTGGCTTTATTCATATACTATTTTAAGGCATGAAGAACTCTTAATTTCAAACAAACAAATAAAGAATGACTCTGAAGTGTTGACTTGTTTTGTATGATAAATATTTCCCTAGAACTATCTTTATAGAAAACAGAACTATATTACAACAACTATAAATTGTTTTCTCTTGATTTTTTAGTAAGAATAATTATTCGTCTAGAAATGTCGATTGTATTTAATAGTAAATAAATTGTTCATAGTTTAATCATTAAAATTCAAACAATCAATTTGCATTGCAAAATCACTTTCAAAGTATCTAATAATAAATTTGAATATCTACTATTGCCAATGAATCTAACTAGTGTTGGACATTAAATCAATTTTTGAAAGAAAAAAACTCTATGTGGATAATAATTGCGTAACTAATTTTCTTTGACTTTCAACTTTTTATAATTTAATTATTGTTTAAGTACTTTTCTAAGCCATTCTGTTCTGATAGTCCTTAATGTACCAAATTTTCATTGATCTGTCATTAATTTTTTTTTACAATATTCGATTGATTTTTCCCATCTTAATCATTCTTGATGTTAAAAAGAAAAACTTTCAGCAGAATGTCAATCATCGACAATATGAATTACTGTCTAGATAGGATTTTTTTCTTTTAAAGACAGATTTACTGTACTCTTAAGATTATATTAAGTTACAATAGTAGATATTCAACTCATTATAAAATAGAGCTCAAAGGTAATTTCACATATGTGCATTGGTTTCTTAAATCATATACTTAGTTCATTATTTCATGTATAATATTTACAGTAACTAATAACTTTCTCATTAAATAAACATTTTGACGAACATGTGTTACAGTAGTTTTTCTCTGGAAAAACAGTTCTATGAGAATATTTATTATACAAAACGAGTCAGAAATTCTGGGTCATTCTTTTTATGGAGCTATAATTTGTAAAATGAGTATTATTCTAGATTGTCTTTTTTAATAGGCTTTATAGTGTTAGCTGACATGATCTTTCACTTTGATATCTTGATTGAATCCATAGACATGACATCAATAGACAGCAGTAATTTGATTTATATACGATTAATCATATCATCAGTACATATCTTACAAACTTCTTTGCCTAATGATTTTACCAACGGGCAATAAGAACCAGCTATTTCTAATCTATTATTTCAAAAATTAATTAAGAATATACCTTTTAGAAGTATTTAATATCATCATCTAAAAACGAAATTTATGTTCTATTTCTGATTAGATTTTATCAGATCATATAATATATTTTATAGAATTTTATTTTTTTTTATCATTTGAAAGTATTTTGTTTTTCAATAGAACGAGTGTCGACATTTTTCTTTCGTACTTTCATTTAATCATCGACCATTTTCTTTTTCTTCTTAGGAAATCAGATCTTCCTTTATTTTCTCTCTCTTCCTCGACATCCAGTTCATTTAAAATTTATCCGATTCATGAAATATCTAATAGAATACAAATGAATTTTCCTCTTATAAATCTTAATCAATAAATAATTTTCAAATATCATTTTGTTTTTAACAATCTTTATTTAAACTACTTAAAATTAAAGAATCAAATTTTATCATATCAAATTTCGTTTATAACTAGGATGAAAAGAAAAACAAAACCGTCTTCTCATTTGTGATAGAAAATCTTAACAATCCACTATTTGATAATAATTCATAAAATAACAGAGTTTTTATTTATTTTGAAAAATTGAAAAATTACATTAATTGACAATCTCCTATTGCATGTCAACTCTATATGCTTATATGCTCATCGTTTGACTGTTAATATTTTTTAATTTACTAAAAAAGACCTATAAATTATCAATATATGTTTTCCACTTAAATGACGCATTCTACTTTTGTTCCCTGAGGCGTCATTGTTCTTCGACATTTCTTCTATATATATATATATAAATACATCTGATGACTCAATCATCGGCGTCAAATACTAATCACCTTCTGCTCATCGATTGTATTTTAAGACACGTTCATTCACTAGTTATTTCAAAAATGATAAGAAATGGGCGTCTATATCAAACAAGGACAAAATCAAATCTTCATTGACAAGTATTTTTTTTTCTCTCTCTCTCTCTTCTACATATGCAGATTGTCTCTAAATGGTTAGAATGCTTGTCACTTGTCGTCTGGAGGCAACGGATCAAATAACATAGTGTGAAGAAGCATTTCGATTACTTGGAAAGGCTCTTTTTTTTTTGTTTCAGCATACACATACACATACAGAAGAAGAAAAAGAAAAATGAGTTCAGTTATATATATATATGAGTCAAACAGCTGCTTGAGTCGTAAGAGACGTGGCAAAATCTTGAAAAGTTGAATAAGAATTTGTTGATGATGAATTTTGTTCAGAATGTTCATTGACACTATTTTGTACCAATGTTGATTTATTATTATTATTGGTATTATTATGAAAAGCAGCAGCTTGTGCTGCGGCATGTGCAGCAGCAACAGCAGCTAATTCATAAAAGTTCGAATGAAGAAATGATGTTGCATCAAAACGATGTTGTGGATTTTTCGATGAAATCGATAATGGAGATGTGGACGAAGATGATACCGAAGAAAAATCACTGGGTAATGGTGGTATAGACATTGGTAATGGACGTTTTATTATTGAATTAGTTGATGATGATGATGATGATTGTTGTTGTGATGATGGTGGTGGCGGTGGTGGTGGAGCTTGTAAAGATGCTGCACAAGCAACAACAGAACTGATTGATTGACTTGCTTCAACTATTTGACGTTTCAGTCTAACAAAAACAAAAAATACAAGAAATCTTTTTGTTTTTATGAAAGATGTCAATTACGTACTTGTTTCGACGATTTTGAAACCAAATCTAAGAAATAAAAAAAAGCAGAATTGAAAATATTTTTCTGATTTATCTAGTTTTTCTTACTTTAACTTGTTGTTCAGTAAGTCGAAGACCTTGTGCTAAATTTGCTCGATCAGCACTTGATAAATATCGTTTTCGATCAAATGTTGTTTCTAATTGAAATATTTGTGTACGAGAAAAAACTGTACGAGTTTTCTTTTTTCTATGCATTATTTCATGTAATTCATGATTACCATTACCATGATGATTATGTTGATTAATTCCTCCACTTGTATGTGAATATTTATTATTATTGTTATGATTATTATTAATAATTTGATGATTTGTATCATTGTCTTCTGAACCAGTTGCTATATCATCATCATCAACATCACTTGTTGTTATACCTGAGCAATTACTACTAGCATCATCATCATCGGTATTAATTAAACGAGCATGTTTATTTCCTGTTGGTGATGATGAATGTTCATCGGACGATAACGACCCACTATGTTTTCGTTTGTTATTATTATTTCCATCGATTAATAATAAATGTATACCTGAATCATTATTATTTATGTGTTTATTCGATGATCGATAATGATTACCTAGATTGATAAAGAGAAGAAAAAGAAAATTTTTTTGTTTTATTGTAATGTTTGGTTTTTTTTTTGTAATTTTACTTATTGGTGTTGAATGATGATGACGTTTAATTTTTAAATTACTACAATTGAATAATGGTTGTTGCTGTTTGTCAAGAATACTATCGATTGAAAAACTTAATTTTTTTTGATTGATTGGTTCTTGTTCGACAACAATTGTTTTTGTATTACTGTTCGTCGTCGAATGAAAAGGTAAAATTGTCTGTTCTTCCATTTTTAATAATAAGCGAAATTTGAATTGATGATTTTGTTTTTTTTCTTTTTTCGTAGAAAATAAAGAAAAAAAACAGGGTATGTTGATAATCGGTTACTTTTTATTTTCTTTTTCGTCTTATAACCAGTCAGATAATAAATTATAGTATGAGTGGATTTTTTTTTCTCTAACGGAAATTACACACAAGCATACATAGACTCTTTTTTACTTTCTTCTCATACAATTATCTTCCTGCTGTGTATGTGTGTGTCTCTCTCTCTCTTTTCTCTCTTTCTATGTTGTTAATCTTTCGCCAATCGACAAAAAGAACCAATAGAAAAAAAGCTTCTATGTTCGATAATCGTTTCTCAATCGGCCAATCAGCGACAATTGCTTGTTGGCTGTCTCTATTTTCTGTTTTTTTTTCTTTCTTTCTTTAGGAGTTTAAAAAGGAAGAAAGAAAAAAACTATATATATATATGCATGTGAACAACATAAATAGTAAAGCGAAACAAAGATGAAAACTGACATTGTCAAATGGAGCAGGAAATGGACTTGATGTGCATGCTCTTAGCTTCTTAAGGTGATAATCGACTAAGATGACGAGTAAAAGAGAAAAAAAAAAGAATGTAAGAGCTCAATTAAATCAATTTGCCGACTTGACTTTGTCACGCTCTTTAAGAAACAAAAAATGATTAAAATTTGTTTTTTTTTTTGCTTTCTCTTCTGGAGAAATCCAAATGAATAAGGCTTGATTTTTTTTTTGTTTATCGCTTTAACAATCAGTTAAAAATCAATTAAATTTATTCGATTTGCACTCATACCATCTGTATATGTGCAATGACTAATTTTAATTCGTATTCATTCATTCATTCATTCATTTATTCAGTTTAGCCTATTAATAGCTTTTGCTTGCTCTTTCTCTCTTGTATATATCGTATAGGGACCTCAGTTGCTTCATTTCACTATGTTGTGATGCTGTCATTTGATAATGTGTAGAGAAGAGACATATCTTTTTCTCTCTGTATGTCTCCTTCGCTCTCATATGTCGATGAAAAAATGTGCTCTAATCGGATTTGATGAAGCAACTTACTATATATACACGGTAATACGCACGATTCTTCACCTATCGATTGCGCGAACGTCGATCTATCTGTCTCTGTGTCTCAGGGGGACAACGAAAGCTTTAGAAAAAAAGAAGAAAAAAAAATGAAAAGAAATCAGAAGCATGAGCACGCCTGTCATTTGACATTAATAAGGCGGGTCTCTCTCTCTCTCTCTCCCTCTTTCTGTCTCTGTGAAAGTGAAACGGGCATATTCGCATTCGGATCAAGCTAAATGAGATTCGATAAGGCTCACTGAACAACAGTAGCAAAATGCAATTAGCTCAAATGTCATCCTGTTTGGACTCATCGCATTAATATTGAGATGATGATATGATGGAGAAAAAAATAGAAAAGCTGGATAAAGAATTTTCTTACTTAGATAATTGAATTGACTTGACAATAGGTAAAACACTATGGTTTCATTATTTGCAAAGAAATACTTTGATCTAAACATCCACATATATATATATATATGATTACCATTAGCTAATCTCCTTTATTTTTAATTTAATTTTCTATTTCTTTTACTTTTCTTTTTCTTCATGAAGAATATAGATGTTTGTTGATGGAAAATTAAGTTTAATTTTAGTTTTGTAAAATTTTATCATTTTTTATCATCATCATTATCAAAAGATTTAGTGTCAATGATCAGTGTTATTTTCATGTTAATAATAGCGGCATCCCTGAAGCATTCAGTCGATGACAATTATCAGGTGTATTTAAGATGTGTGTCAATATGTATTTTTTTTGTTGTGTTTTTGTCATTCTTAAAGAAAAAAAAACATAGATCATCAAACGGATGGGAAATTTATATGTGCAATACATTCTTCCGACGAACAAGAAAGAAACATTTAAACAATATATACATTGAATATGTCGAGACGAGTGATGTTGTTTTTCTTGAATAAGTAATGATTAAAGAAGATAATTATTCTGTTTAGATAAGTGATTTTTTTTCAGTTGCTAAAGATTGACATTAACCAATCAGAAAAAAAGAAAGAGGAGGAGGAGGAGAAAGAGATAATAGCAAACAATAGTAACATGCTGTGTTGCAGATGGTTCTTTTTTAATATTAAATTAAACGAACAATATCAAAACAAAAAAAAAATTTGGAATGAAAAAAATGAGTTAATAGTTTGTGTAATGTATGTCGTGATTATTTATAAATAAACTTATAAAATCATTGAGGAAATTACAATTGACGATAGGCTTTTATCGACATGAAGCTTCTTTGAACTCAGTGAGTGGTACAAAGTTAGCCGGACTTTTGCCTGTCTGACTACCTTGTGTTGTGTGAAAGTGAACATGCAATCTTCAAGTCTAATCAAGTGGCTAACGTGCATGTAAAAAATTCGGTTTTTCTTTTTTCAATTAATTCCGCTCATATCCGTCCCACCTACTTATCAATCTACTTTTCTTTTTATGTTTTAAAAGACGGTCGTTAGTATATGAACTAAACAATTAGCGTACACCTTGTTCATACTACTAATATGACAAACACACGAAGTGATGAAAAGAGAAGCCTGTCATATTCCTTCCATCATCAAGTGAGAGAGTGACACCAAATAATTTGCCATTTTTTTTCCAAGTGAAAATATAAACAATTACCGGTCAGGAGTTTTTTTCTCCACAGAAAAAAGAAACGAATTAGCAAGCAGATGTAACAGCAGGAGATCTTTCTGTTTGATCTCATTTTTTTTTTTATTTTGTTCCATGCGTAACTGAATATCTAGTTCAACCCCTTCGATATATTGAATACTCGAAGAAGCCAGTAATTCGAGTATATATAACCAGACAACACACACCTTTTTATTTCATGAGGGTGAATTTGTCTGAATGGTGGTAATGATGCGAGAGAATGAGCACATATACATATATATACCATATCATGGACTGTATCATGATGACAACTTTCACTCCCCCTTTTTACTCTTCGATGTTCACCTATCGATAGAAAGAGATTGAACAGCAAATTGAAATATGTGCTCCAGTGAACATTGAGAGAATACAACTATGGATAGAGAATAACATGCTTTTTGTTTTTATATTTATTCATCATATTGATTGAGCACCAATGAGATATATGATGAATTTACAAATTGAAATCATTTAAATCTATGTAGACTTTCTTTTTTTTTTTTTTTTACATATAGATAAAAATAAACTACTATCGATTTAATAAGAGATAGATAATTTTCATTAAATGAGAATGATGTGTCATCAACATTTCCTATATATATAATTATCACTGATTTCCTTGTTGATGTCAAGTGATGTCCTTCATGCATGTAATTATAGCTTGTTATTCCTATTGCTCTTCGATATATACATATTATATATATACACATGTTGTGTCGTTCGAGTTGTTCTTGTTGGCGTCGATTTTTTTTTTTTGAGTTTTATAAGATGAGGATGAACAAAAAGAAAAGTATGCAATTAACCGTAAATAGACTAACTAAAAAATTAATTATGACGCCACTATATTCATAATAGAAAATAAAATTCGAACGAATTGATTATGATAAGTATACATGTCAACAAAAAGAAAAAGATTAAATATTTATTCATAAAAAAATACGTTCATTTGTTCATTTCTTGTCTAATGAAGCATCATTTTTAGTATTAATTGAAAAACTGTTGATGCCACGCTGATAACGAGTAGAAGTATATACGCGTGACGAAGCCAATCAGATTACCTTCTTTACTAATATATGTTGTTGTCTAGTCAACCCCTCACCTTTTTTTTTTGAATAGATCGAAATGCATGCATACATACTCTATGCTTCATAGGAGAATTAAATTATAGAAAAATGATGCACAGCAGAAAACTACACTTAAACACGCTTCGTTTATTTAACAATAAGAAAGATTTAGTTCTTTCTTTTTTTTTTTTTATATCAATGAAGATCAAACGTTCGTTTGTATACTTCTTTTTTTCTCTCTATACTAACTTTTAAAAAGAAAGGCGGTATTACGAATATATTGTTAAATCGTGGTTGGTGGTCTCAAAGTAGTAGACTCGAGGCAAATACTTTATTAATCAAATGCATATACGATTCAATCGTTATATACGATTGAATCGTATATGATGTCAAAGGTTTACTTTTTGTTTTTGTTTTTGTTTTTAATTCAAATGTTTGAATAACATGAAATACAGTTGATACTTTTTTGTTAGATAATAAAAATCATATAAGACTTTAGGCAGAATATTTTGTTTGATATTTATCAATAGAAACATTTTTTTTTCTTTCTACATTGTTTAAAGTGAATTTTGTACTCAGAAAATATTTGTTCATTATTATAAATTTTTGCAATACATAATATTGCTTATTAACACGTATATCTTGAGCAAAAGATATATCGTACTTATTATGAATGAACATAGAATAATATGAATCTGATGAACGTTTTCAAACCAAGAAAATATTCGTTCTAAACAACACTCTTACTGTAAGCAGATTTTAAATGTAAATGTTTTTTCAATCATGTTAAATTACAGCTTATTCCTTAGTATTTGCTATGAATAAAATTAAAATTTTATGACCACGATGAAAAATTTTAAATTTTAATTTATTACTTAATAGTGAAATATACATATATGTATGTTAGCATTCAAATTGAGATTACATCCAATAGCGGATCGGGGAAGAAGTTTTCGTTAAAAACTTCGCAGGTATCTAGAAAGATTTTGGAACCGAATTCTTGTTGGTCAGCTGCGTTGAAACAGTGGCATTTCATGTATTACAATCATCAATGAGGAAGCTCAGTTCAGATTCAAATACTTATGGATAATTTTTCATAAAAACTGTTTTTCTCGGAAAACTTATCCATTGTCAATATAAATTGCTCAACGCAACTACATAGTTTTATACACTTCGATAGGAAAAAAGAAAAGTGATAAAAATTTAATCGTGT